CAAGTTTTTTATGGTGATCTAGCTTCAATCAACTCATGATCTCAACTATTGTAATAAATATACGTAAAAATCATCATTCTCTAACGAACAAATAGGTTATAATACTGACTTCATTTTAAAATTTATGAAATGAATTCAAGTAGACGCTAGATAACAAACTTGATTATATTACCTCCTGTACTGTGGTTCAATAAGTCGTTGTTAATGAATACAACGCTTTCATCACATTTTTACTTTCATCATTTAGTCTGTAGTGCATGAGACACAAGTGGGAACAGCTAATTTATTGTTTAATACAAAATTACAGGATCTTTTCGTAAAATATGAGAACCATACATTAAATACTTCGTTTGAAAACCCTTCATCAACTGTCCTTCACATTCTATATGATTCTTACAATTCACAATTCCTTTCTATTTCCTTTTTATTATCTGCAACTCGATCTTCTTAGCCTTCTACTGCCAACTATTCAACTTTAATTGGTGTTACATATTGTTTATGTCTGTCGACATTAGTCGCACACGCCACAAGTCTCCATGCTTATTTAGTGTAATGTAATGCTTAAAATATATTTCAATTCAATATTTTCTGGAAAAAAATCAAACTCATCTCGTTTACAAAACGTATGGAGGTGGTTAATGTCGACCTAATTTGTGAATCTTCTTGTCATTTTGCATGTTTCTCATAAGTTCATTAATCTTTAGGATTATTATCATCAACTAAGAAAACGTTGGATCGGTATTGAATTTCCCCGTACTCCATTTTGAATGTCTCAAGGATTATCATTCACTGAATATAAGTGCTGCATATACAACATTTCGTTTGATCTTAGTTTGGTACAACATCAACAGATCTCTAATATACTTGTACATACATTTAGAACTTGTGGATCACAATCACATCCTGGTCAGTCATCGATCATCATCTTGGAGTACATTCCATATTTTGAATTGATAGTCTTCTTTCATAATTTGTAAAATTACATTTGAACCTTGTGAACGCGCAACTACTGATTATTTGCAGGTAATCTCTGCATAATATACCTGGATTTGTTTTGTCTAATATTATTTCCTTTTTATCATTTTATCTCTCGAGTAACGTCACAATTATTTAAATACTTGAATTTCGGTTCACAACAAGCTTCAAACTTTGACTTAAATCAAGTTATTCAGATGAATAAGTTCAAATTTAAATAAATTCCAATGTATCCCCAATGAGATAAGAATACAATTGGTTTCTCATCATAGCTTTACATTACACTAAAGTATGAAGTCAATACCAAATAGATAGGGGTCGGTTAGTTTAAGAACGTATTTCAATACTTTCTCTAGAGATATTAATCAGTTAGATATTCAATAGATGTAAAGTCGAGAGTAAAGAGAAATTGCCTGGTCAGCTAATTAATGAAGCTGGTCACATAAGAATAAGAAAATAAAATTGAGTAATTTTGAAATTAAGCAACGGAATATGAATGTTTAGTTTTATTCGTGAAAATACTTCCAAAAAAATTAGATGATCAGATTAAGGTAGATTGTGCAAGAATAAAATAAGAATTGAATAAGACCTAAAAAAATTTAAACTACATATGCATAATTATGCAGAAGGTCAGGGTAAGTTAAACTGCTGTACAAATTCCTCCTGTGCATAAAGATCCAATTTATTTCAATATATTCCCACATCACCTACTGCATGTAATAGACGAATTCTGCAAGCATAAAACAAGTCTATGGCAAATTTTGAAAGTTAACTTTTTTCGTTACAGTGACAAGTATCGACTAGTTGCTTCAGAGCAAAAATTCTTACTGTTTTCTTTTATAACACATCTCTTTCAAGTCAGCTTCTCAAATAGGGAATATTTTCGATTCGGCAATCCTTCCCAGAAAGGTAGACTCTACTACTTATCTGAAAACTCATGCTAAATGTGTACTTCCCACTATCACTGAAGATGATTTCACTTAATTTTCCTCGATTGAATATGTTTATAACTCGTAACACTTATATCAATTTATTATTTTAAAAGATCTTACTTTAAATTCTGTTGAAGTTATACACAACACTTCTAATATTCGATAATCCTACTGTATCAAACAGTATTATTTATTTTTATACTCATTTAATAGGTAAGTGATGCAAAGTATTGTGTAATTTTCATTGCAGACGTACTTATCGAACAATGAAATTTTTTTTGATGGAGTTTTGTTCTCTGAGTTGTATGGTTTGGTCGTGGAGCTTTCACCGTACCTCTGAATGAAACCATCAGCACAAACTTCAGATAAACTTTTATCTGTCGTTCAGAAGGACGATAAAAGTTCTACGACCAAAACATCCAGCTCAGAGAACAAAACTCCACCAAAATCATCCACCTGAGCTACAAATCTCCACCATCTCAGAACACTTAAAATGCTACGGATAACCATTAAGTTTGAATTACTATAAAACCTTTATGTTGTGAAGCGAGAAATGATAGACACCGTTTAATTTTTATGCAAATTATAAGGATAAAGAATTCGGTAGATTTTCCATTTTACTTACATTTATACCATATAAACTATTCGAACATTTTGAGATCTAGTTAACTGACCATATAGGGGTTAGAGAATATTTGATTAGTTATTTCTCGTCTTATCGATTATTAACAACATTGACATTACTAAACATGAACGAAATGCATGATAGGCTTATAGAATACATTTAAAAGAGTAAAGTCTATCAGAACTATAGGATTATATTGTTGGAGTAAATTTGTTATATTTACAAATAATTTCTATTTAAAAACAAACAAACAAACAAACAAACTATGCTGTATCAAATGAAATCATGATAATTAGGAATGTCATTTAAAATAGAGTAATTAGAATCATTCTATTCATTTAATGTTAATTTATCAAATAGATATTCTCCAAGTCCTTTACCAACTCGTTGTGTTTCTGTTAAATAATCAGCAAATTGTTTAATTGCATCTTCTTGTTCATGAAGAAATTCACTTTCAATAAAATCTGTTAATCCTGGATCATTGTTTCTTGAAGCTACTTCATGGAGTTCTAATAATGACTAAGAGAAAAAATTAATAAAATGATTACAGAACAGTTGGTTTTGATGTAGGGGAGAATTCCATATTAAGCTACGTACGAATACGTAGCTGGACATTGGTTCAATATGAAAACCATATTTATTCAGAATAACACATAATTAACTTTCAGCAGACTCTTGACTTTTCCTAGGACATTGTTAGCCTAACAACCCTATGGTCAACAATACCCAAAAAAGCGTGTTTGATTTGTTAGGACTTCATCTTTTAAGAGATAACCAATGACACCAAAATGATAAAACAGTAGAATATTGTGCAATCATGTAGGTTTAGATTGTGTGATCAACCCAACAAAAAAAACCAAATAAACCATATGATCGATAACGACCCACTAAAACTGAAATATTGACGCAAAACCTCAGTAAACGGACATTAAAATACAAGAAACTTGGTGATCGAACTGAATAGTTTTATGGAGAATTACAAACTTATTGAGAACCTGATTAACTATAGAACATAAATTTTGCTGACTATTTACAACACCACGGAATAGAAATGTAACTGCAGTGCTAACTGATGATTCATTGTGTAACTAAATGTTCTTTCACATAAACATGTAAGTCACTGTATTAAAAGCGAGTTATAAAATAAAATTTAAAGTGGTTTGTATTTACAGTAGAACTCAATACCCATAATTGAATCCGTCATCTACGCTTCATTTCTGTACTGTAATTCTTTATCCACTATGCGTATAAAAACAGTCAATGAATTACATCTTACAAGATTAGAAAAACAATCGACAGATAGACACCATACAACCTCAAATAAATTAATTAAAGATATAGCTTGAATATAGCTAAGTGCATTATCAGGCCTAATGTGTTTTATCCATCAGTGGATTTAGGTTTTCTTGATCTGAATATTATTTGATCTGTATCTCGTATTCAGTTAGAGAATTCAGTCATATTACTGTAAAATAACAGAATTTTTAAATGTTTCTAAAGCCAAACTAATCAAGATACCCTACTCTTTTTTCATATTCAATTCAAGCAACTGGAAACTACTTGCTATTAATTTAAATATAAAGGAGTAAAAAATTTCTTCTGTAACAGATAAACAGTAAAAATAAACAATTAGTATGGGGTAAGTGACTCCAATGTCATAGGTTAATCATCAAGCTAACATGCTGTCTGCTGGTAGTTTTTCGGTTCGTTTTCATGAATGAAGTATCACTTAGTACTTATAAGGCTTAAAATTAATGAAAATACTGACATGTAAGTGGGATAATGAAGTGATTATGGATCGGTTCAAAGAAACACGAAGTAACATATTTCGATGCAACCTGTTTAATTTAAGTCTAAGGGTAAAATTTAGGTTAGCACTAAGACTTAGTCAAGATTATATTTTACGAAATGTATAAATTAACCCTAAATCCTATATCAGAATCTAGATCCTACTTCTGAGCTATGTATTTAAACCATACATATATAACTTAAGAACGTTCAATGATCATGTGAAACCAATAAATCCCTAGTAGGTTCTTTTGTTTTTTATTCATCATAAATTGAACATTTACCTTTTCTGTCTTCTAATTGATGATATCAGGTAATGACCTCATGGTTGTTCGACCGGTTTGTTATTGTTTACGCAAATAAACCAATTTAAAAAGTATCTTAATTGTTGGAAAAAAGGTAATCAAGAAATAATTAGTGTTTTGACTTACTTTACTAACTGCTTTTTCCATTCCAAGGGCGGTATTCATAGCATCCTCCAAGCCACTGAATTCTGTCTTAGTCGGACACTTGATGTCACTGTATTGAACACGACCACCACGTTTGTTCTGATACTTCGCCAACTTCTCTGCATGTTCACGTTCCTCATGTGAAGCTTTTCGAAAGAATTCAGCTGCTTTCGGAAATGATACATCATCTCTATCGAAGTAGGTGAAGAATGCCATGTAATCATAAGCAGCTTGTAGTTCCACATTGATTTGTTTATTGATGGCATCTTCACATTCTTTGGCAAAATTCTGTTTGGCTCTTGACGCACTCATGGTTTTTCTAATTTAAACGACTATTTAAACTATTTTCTTATTTAGTTTCCTAGATCGTTTACTAGATTCTTTCGTCTGATCTAACACTGACAGATCTGATAATTGACTAAAACTGATTCAATTCAAATCTGTTCAGTCCTTTTATTGATTTCGAAACAGACACATAAACTGCATAACAATAACAAGGAACTGTTAAAGCTATGAAACAAACACATATTTCCAAAATAATAATATTAGAATAGAATAATCAAACAAATGCTTCCCATTTGTTTTGAATACCTGTTTGTACACTACTAACTATTTTATGCTATTTAGATTGGTTGAAATAATATCTGAAATACATGGTCTACTTTCATACAAATTTCATAAATTTTTTTTAAAAATCGTTACCCTATTGGTTGTTTCCTATCAATATAAATCTCATATTTTCATAATATTAAAACGTGAAATTATTTTCCTAAGAGTGACATCATCGAAAATTATAGTATTACATGTGAAGTATAGCAGTACATATACATTTGTATGATTGTAACTAGTGTTTATGAGAAATTCTTCATAACTATGCGACATATTAAGAAGAATAGAGTATCGGAGTTTTTTTTTAGAAAAAAAGATAGTTTAAAAGCTTAAGTTATTCAACTCGAGTTGACTTTGATGAATGATGAAAGTGTGATCGTATACAATTTAAGATATATCGAATTTTAATAGTTGAGATCATGAGTCAATTGAAGCTAGACCACCATGGAAAATCTGGAAGCACTGATTCATCCAATTGTGGGACTCCTTAGTAGTGCGCATCCACGATCCTGCCTCGCGAGATTCCAATTATTTGATTGGAGAAAATTAGATGAAATGTTTGTTATTATTGCTAAATTAATGAAAAACCCTTTAGTCAGAACTGTTCTGTAGCATCGCTTAATTCTGTAATGGTATTATTATTTAATTGACTTTATTCAATATTATATTATTGGTGCAATATAGAATTCTCAGCACGAAATATTTCAACCAGTTTCCTTTTCTTATTTCTTGATCGACCTTAGAGATAATTATTGAGTGGTCGACAGTTAGATGTTAGCAGTTCAGGAATAGACATCTGAATAATGTATATTCTTTTCGATGCATATTGCCAGCAACCAAGATATCTCTGATCGGGCTTTTTTGTAGCTTGTACAGGAACATGTCGTAAAATTTTCACAGACGCACCTGAATAAGTTATGCAATGAAATGGTGTAATGATGTGTCAAAACATACAAAATAATCGATAACTTGTTGAAAAATCAGATGACAAGAACAGGTAACCCAGATACTACCTTTCTGTTTTAAGTGGTAATCGTAAATTCTTGTATGAAATTTGCACATACGTTGTTAAATAGAATCATTGTTTCACACTCAAAGTACATCATATTAAATTACACATCTCGATTTTCTGATTAATATCTCATATTGTATTAATAATTCTCTACTAGGTTCATGTTCGTTTAAGTATCTTAAGTTAAAAAGAACTAATATGGATGAACTTTACAAAAAAAGCACCATGAAGTCATGATACCTTATTCTCTTGAAGCATTAAATGAAGCAGAAGGAAAATAATTTTTCTTAAATATTTGATGCTTATAAATCCATATTTGTTAAAATGTAACTTCTCCTACTTATTTTTTTCACATGCTTTAAGGACTCATATTTCTTAAAAAAAGAGTTGAAATAGCCTTATTGCATCTTTTTACCGAGGTTGCGTAATATGTCAATAGTTTGATCTTAAAATTAACTGTTTATATTTACTAAATCCAGTTGAATTTTCTTTTTAGTTATTTCCCTTTTAAACTGATACAAGTCACATTATATTAAATTGGTACCTGCATGAATATTATTGGTTTTAAATGAAACCATTCGATTGTAACACTCCACTGTTAGCTATATTCAGTTAAGGTGACGGTTAACTGGAACTTTAGTTAACTGCTATTGTGGTATTTGCTACTTATACGGACAGATATAAATAGTGTGTGTCAAGAATTGGAAGTAGGATTATTACTGAACGAATAGGAATAATGAAGAGAAAAAATACAGATGCAGTTCGAGTAAAAACAGGAATATAAGAACGATGGAGTTTATAAGTGACAGTCCAAGGAAGATGTACAAATGGAGTATTTAATAAATCATTTCCACATTTAATAAATGCAGTGTGTGATTCAGCTTAATTCACCAAAATTTACGTTCGTTACACCATGGCTGTTACCTAAAATGTCATTTTTGTTAATCTTTATTATCCATGACTATAGAATCTTTGTTTATATGAATAGTTTTCAAAATAATTTCTCCTTAAAATTCACCATTCTTATTTAAAAGTTACTGTGTCATCAATGTCTTCGTTGATTAGTAGATGTTAAAGATGCCAAAAGTATTCGGAGATTGACAATGCTTTAACCAGTAACACCTAATATGAATCGTACCCATCAAGTGAAATCAAAAGACAGAAGCGAGGAGGTTCGAAGATATATTTGATAGGCTATCAATATATCGAGGATTGGCTGATCTAATCTGGCTAGCGATTTCAGGGGTCGTTGAGTACGGCGTTCCCACTCGTGATCTTGGTGCGGATGCATGACCGAGCGCCTTCAGCTAGGTGAGTTCATTAAAACTAATGTGGTCAGCATGCAATGTCGAAGTCTTACAGAGCTATTTATTTTGGGGATTTATTTACCGCTACAATGTTAAGTAATTGTATTAGTATTTAACAATACATAATGATACTATTTGCGGATAGAATACAATGGGAATTTTATGATTGGCTAACATTAGGACAAATTTAACAAAAAAAACTGAACAATATAACATTAAATTTTTGTAGATTTTACATTAAAAACAACGAATACTTTAATAAAATATTTAATAAAACTGATGTGAACAGAGACACAAAGAATCCATGGTGTATAATAGTAGCTATTTTGGGGACTTTATTGCACATAATTCAAAGCTTGTAAAATACTAACAATTAGTTTTGTCCCTAGGTTATTCTACAAACCATAAGATTTCGTTTAATGTATGATTCACTGACACGCCCTTTTTTGTTCCAAAGCCATAGTAATTTAATCGTAACCTTTTGTACTCTATTTTTCTACCTCAACGCCCAGTTTGAACATCTGTTAGATCTATCGAAGCGTCTAGTTCACCTGATTGAGATACGCGCGAAACCGAAGTTCCAAAACAACGATTTGTCTACAATAGCGGTTCTTTATTGAATAATACACAAAATTTAGTTACATACCTCAACTTGTGAGGTGTCTATGGCGTTTAAACGCGTCCTTCAAGCGTGAAGATAAAAAGGCTTCCTGTAACAGTAACATAAAGAATAATTATAACATACGATAGTACAAAGGACAGCTGATAGCTGTGTCTAAATTTGATAACAGTTTATGAACAACCGAAACCCAAACCAAGAGCAAAACAACATGGAAACTGTTGCGTTTAAACAAGTGCACGAAACTGTGGATAACCGCTACAGTGATTAAGGTACAGCAATTATAATGACAAATACAATGATAAGTACAATAAACGTCATAAATATATGTGAATAATTCAGAATAATACATTACAACTTGTGTTACAACATAGGTGTAAAATTGTTGGGAATACAACTGCTTACTGAATGTTAATAAGTAGTACAAAACAACATACAAAAAGGTTGAAAGGAAACGAGTAGGAACAATGTAAGCAAACTTAACAACATCATTGTTTTTTTAATTGTTCATGCGTTGTGGTCATGTTAGTCATTTATTTATTGATGTATCTTATTTGAATCTGAAATTGGGAACCAGGAATAAATCGAATAGTGTTCCAGTTGACTAGTCTTCTTCCTCATTCTCTCGCTTGTCAACCGATCATGTGATAGAATAGTTTTTGTCTTTCTGCCCAAGGCCGTTAGTCTTAGTTCGGACTCACGCATTTCTACCCTCGCAGTTAAATAGGTTAACTTATCGTGTCAAGGCCTCAACCTAGATCGAGAGAAGTTCTCTCCTGCATATTACTGGGTACACAGATCAAAAACGCAACAAAAGTGGCGACGGAAATTCTTTTGTTGTTTTGATTGCCCAAAATGAAAATATCTATGTCTTTGGACGACCTTACAACCAATTTACAAGTTCAGCAAGCGTGAAGCGACGCAAATCAAGCAGAGACTTTGGACTTACTGACGCAGATGTCTCGTCTGACTCAACTTCGACCTCACAACCAGATAAATATGGAAGCATCGCAGATTTCATTTGTGAATTGAACTTTGATCCTGAATCTGGTATCGTAGTTGATTTCTGGTTTTATCAATTAGAAGACATATTCCGTGTCGAATGATCAAGTCTCGATGATGAAGCTAAAGTTCTCTAACTTCTGAAAAGACTTGGAACAGGTTAACATAATACATATCTGGACTTCATACTGCCACAAAATCCTCGGGATTTATCTCTTAATGGTACAATCCAAATGTTATCTAAAATATTTGAAGGACAGTTCTCATTGTTCGACATTCGCTATCAATGTTTTCAAATATCAAAATCTTAATCCGATCATTACCTCACTTATCCCAGAAAAGTACATCGAGAATGTGTGCAATTCAAAATTAATGAAATTACAACAAATCAATTTAAATGTTTGATTTTTGTCTATAGATTGAAGAATCTAAATGTTGACATCCGCATAGGAATTTTAGTCTGCAACGAACGGGAATCTAACATGACCACAAATGGTCACAACCGAATATCAACGTTTGTTGGATCACAAACATGATCGAGACAAGTTCTATCTTTTAAAGTCCTGGTTATTTATTGCGATCAGCATTTTTGAAATTTTTCGTACTACTTATTGACTTCTGCCCACAATACTGTTTATTCTTACGGACGTTTTCTGTTCGATATAGTCTATATGAATGAAAATCATCTGTCGTGTCAATAAGATAAAACGTAAAGTTGGATTTGTTCTGAAGGCATCGAACATGTATAGAAAATCAAAATAAT